TTCTCCCCGGTGTGAATTCTTTGATGGGACTTGAGGCTTTTTCTGTCAATGAAGCTTTTCCCACACTCCATGCAGTTATATGGTTTCTCCCCTGTGTGGATTCTTTGATGGTAAGTAAAGGACTCTTTCCGCCCAAAGCTTTTTCCACACTCCAAGCAGTTATATGGTTTCTCCCCTGTGTGAATTTTCTGATGGGAACGAAGATGTGAACTCTGATGGAAGGTCTTTCCACACTCCAGACATTTATATGGTTTCTCCCCAGTGTGAATTTTCTGATGGGAACTAAGATGGGAACTCTGATTGAAGCCTTTTCCACACTCCAGGCATTTATATGGTTTCTCCCCAGTGTGAATTCTTTCGTGCAAAGTAAGGCTTCCACTCTGACTAAAGCTCTTCCCACATGCCAGGCATTTATATTTTTTCTCTCCTGTGTGAATCTTTTCATGAGACTTGAGGCTTGGTCTGTCAATGAAGCTTTTCCCGCACTCCATGCAGTTATATGGTTTCTCCCCTGTGTGAATTCTTTGATGGTAAGTAAAGGCATCTTTCCGCCCAAAGCTTTTTCCACACTCCAGGCATTTATAGATTTTCTCTCCTGTGTGAATTCTTTGATGCAATTTAAGGCTTCCACTCTGACTAAAGCTTTTCCCACATGCCAGGCATGTATATTTCTTCTCCCCGGTGTGAATTCTTTGATGGGACTTGAGGCTTTTTCTGTCAATGAAGCTTTTCCCACACTCCATGCAGTTATATGGTTTCTCCCCTGTGTGGATTCTTTGATGGTAAGTAAAGGACTCTTTCCGCCCAAAGCTTTTCCCACACTCCAAGCAGTTATATGGTTTCTCCCCCGTGTGAATTCTTTGATGCAATTTAAGGCTTCCACTGTGCCTGAAGGTTTTTCCACACTCCAGGCATTTATATTTTTTCTCTCCTGTGTGAATTCTTTGATGTATTTTAAGGCTTCCACTCTGACTAAAGCTTTCCCCACACTCCAGGAAGTTATATGGCCTCTTCCCTGTGTGAATTCTTCGATGGATACTAAGCTGCCCACTCTTACTGAAGCTCTTTTTGCACTCCAGGCATTTATATGGTTTCACCTCTGTGCGAGTTCTTTGATGGGAAATCAGGGTATTTTTCTGTACAACCCCTTTCCTACACTCCAGATATTTATACGCTTTTTCTTCCTTATGGGTATTCACATGCATCTGAATGTCTGATATTTCAGGAAATCTTTCCCCACTTACATTTCCTTCATTCCTATTTTCTCCTCTGCATAGGTTTTGAAGTCGCAGAATTTCTTCAGAAGAGTTACATGGTAAAAGACTGGAACTATTTATCCCTTTAAGTGTGGGTTTCCCTTCTTCCTTCCTCAGTATATCGCAATATTCATTATTCTCTTCAGAATATATTTTTTCTTTCGTCATCTCTACATGTGCTTTTGTTTCATTCACTGACTCCCAAACACCTCCTGCTGAAAGAAAGAAAAACCTGGCATAAACATACAGAGAAGAACAAAGCCTGAACATATGGAATTACATTAAGTGCCGTAGAGAATGCACGCATTCAAAAGCTTGGTGTCTGCAGAGCCCTTAAAATGGAATCTTAGAACATAATTTTTCCTCTGAAGGGAACTGGAAGCTGGAGACGCTACTACAATACGGAGGAGAAAGCGAGTCTCTCTACCCGCAGACACATCAGGTGACTGACCTGGGATCTTTAGTCACCTGACCGGCATCCTCCCTGCTCCTTTCCACTAAGATCAAAGAATGGGATTTCATGCGGCTTTGGCCCAGCAGTCACCAAACAAATATGGGCAAAACCCCAATGATTCAGGGAAGACAACATTAGACAACTGTTGGTAAAAAGAGAAACATGACTATTCCGATCCCCATGTGTTTTACCTTAATTTCTTCAGGGTGCCTAATGATATCTCTTGCACCTTCTCCCTCATCCACCACGAGTCTTAGAGACTGGGATGCCTCAGAGAGAGGGAAGTGGGGAGGGGATGGTGAGAGCGGTCAAAGAGAGAGAGGGAGTAACTCCCATTCATCCAATAGGGCTGGGGACTCCCACAGTGAAATCAGAATCAGGCTGATCTCCCAGTCACTGCAGGAAAAGGCTGACTGGGTTAGTGCCCTGGCCAAGAAGGGCGCACATGTCAGCCTTTCCAGGCAGAGGGAAGCTGGGGAGTAGACTGCAGTCGACACATTAACTGCCTGAATATTCTTTAGTCTTTGCTAAAATTGTCCTTTCCTGCCTTCACAAGAGACCTTCCCACATGTTACAGAGAATGCATGTAGAATGAACAACCTACAGCTGTTCGTCAGACAGAGCCAACCTGCATCCACTTTCCAAATGAAACTGGGGACCAATTACTGGATATATGTGGGGTTTCAGTCACACATATGCAAGATGCATATACCATGAGAATTATCTGGTGTCAGGACTGAAATGGCTTTGGTCACCCCAGTGAATAACCAGGGCTCAAGATGGCCTCCGGGACCTCTCGGAAGCTTCTGATACCATCAGTAATGATACCCTTCTGAACAGCCATTTGGGGTCGGGACTGGAGACACGGTTTTGCTGTGGTTAGGGGTAGAGGGCTAAAAAACTGAAACGTGATCCTGGCAGGATGGGAGGTGCTACTGGTGTGTGTACAGCAGGGTGTGTGTGTGTGTGTGGGTGTTTCCAAGATATGGGATATCTCCAGTTCGGGAAGGAGCAGGTTAATAGCTTAGGGGTTCTTGCGGAGTTGCACCTCCTGTTGGACAAAGAGGTGGCAGTGGTGGGCAGGGGGACCTTCTACCAGCTTTGGCCCTTTCTGGGGGGCCTGGAGAGCTTGCCGCTGTGGTACGTGCCCTGGTAACATCTGGATTACATTGCAGCAATGGCTTCTACACGGGGTTGCCCTTGAAGACTGCCCAGAAGCTACAGTGGATACAGAAAGCTGTGGCCGGATGGTTGACGGGAGTGGGTCAGAGGGACCGCATCACTCCAGTCTGGCTCCACCTGCACTGGCCCCCAATTGGCTTCCAGGCCTGATTCAAGGCGCTGGTGTTGACCTTGAAAACCCAATACCGCTTGGGGGTGGCATACCTTAAGGACCGCCTTCTCCCCGCTGAACCTACATGTCCATCCTGGTCACCTTTTGAAGCCCGAGGCTAGGTGAGTGGCAACCCATGACAAGGCCTTCTCAGTCGTGGCTCCAAAAGTTTGGAACTCCCTCCTCCCTGGGGAGATTTGTCTGTCCTTCTCTGTTGTTGCCTTCTGCCAGCAGACAAAGACCTTTTTGTTTTATTTGGCATAACTGTTATTGGCCCTCCCCACACACACATGTAACTGAACCCTCTGCTCTCTGGCAGGAGGATCTGGGGGAATCCAAAGAGCGAATCCCGTCTCCTTCCAGGAGGTCCTCTCCTGTCTCCAAACCCTGGGGAAGCAGGTAACGTCCACCTGTGAGACCCGTGTCTTTGGATTTCCAACCACTCCCCTGTTCCAGTGCTAGTCAGGGAGATGCTGAAGAGAAGTCTCCCTTACAGAGATGAAACATACCCCTGCACTGTGACGAGGCCTTTAGGAAGGGAACGGAGGGCCCTGGCCTGTGTAGCCCACGTCAGCCCGATCTCATCAGATCTCGGGATCTAAGCAGGGCTGGCCCTGGCTAGTATTTGGACGGGAGACCTCCGGGGAATACCAGGGTCATCATGACACGGAGGCAGGCCATGGCAAGCCACCTCTGAATGCCTCTTGCCATTGGAAAACCCTGCAGGCTCACCAGACGTCAGCTGCGACTTGACAGCAAAACAACAACAACATGCAACAGAGCTTCAGATTAAAGTCTTCCTCCTTGATCTCTACTGTCTGACCTGGCTCCAGAGCCCTTGAGACGTGCCATCTGATAATCAAGTGGACATTAGAGGCAGCAAAGCATGGGACATGGAATTCAAGCTCACGTTGTCTGCAGATGACGCTGAGCAATCAGAACTGATTAACCTTACTAGTGAATCTGGAGAGAGATCGGGATACCGTTCATCTGATATTCACAACCTGTGGCCATTTAAAACTGATGCTGAATTTGTCAACCATCTTGGTGTTATTGTCCCAAGGGAGATCTGTTCCCTAGTTCAAGTAACTATGAAGTGGATTCTGGAACAGCTTTCCCAAGTTCTCAATAGATGGGCCTCTTTAACTCTGAATACGTCGGGAAGAATTAGATTCAGGTGGGTAGCCATGTTGGTCTGAAGCAGCAGAACAAAGTTTGAGCTCAGCAGCACCTTTACGACCAACAAAGTTTTATTCTGGGTATATGGTTTCGTGTGCATGCACACTTCCTCAGATTGTGCAAGCACATGAAAGCCTATACCCAAAATAAAACTTTGTTGGTCTTAAAGGTGCCGCTGAACTCGAACTTTGTTCTAGGGCAGAATGAACATACTTCAAATGAATGCTATTTCACATAGGATTTATGTCTGGAGAGGACTCCCAAAGATTTTTTTCCCAAAAATCGATTCTCTATTTTGCCCTGACCTGGAGAGCCCAGGCAAGCCTGATCTCGTCAGATCTCGGAAACGAAGCAGCGACAACCCCGGGAAGTACTTGGATGGGAGACCTCCAAGGAATACCAGGGCTGGGATGCAGAGGCAGGCAACAGAACCACCTCTCTGAACGTCCAAGCCCCAGTTGGGGTCGCCAGAAGTCAACCACAACTTCCAGAAATGCACCCCCCCAAAAAAAAAAAAAACACACACACCTGATTCCCTATTTTGACAATTTATCTGGGGTCCCTCGGGCAGGCCTAGGATTGCGTATAAAAAGCTTCAACTACCACCCAAAGAAGGGGGCTTTAATCTCCCTAACCTGCACCAATATCACTTAGCCTTCCTGCTCTCTAACGTGAAATACTGGACTCCTGAGCAGGAAACTCCTGAATAGGCTCATCTAGAAATCACCCAGCTCGATTCCATATGTAAGTGGGTGGCCCTGGGCTCTGTCCACTTAAATCATCCCAGGTGCATCCTCCTATAACTGAGGTTAACTGTGGCCCTGGCCACATGGGCCAGATACCGCGGGGGGAGGCGTGGCTTTTTGCACTGGCGCAATTTAACGTGCCAGAATGCGATCAGACGCTGCGGCAGCCAATCGGGGTTTTGTTTGTCGGCGCGTGTTTCCAGCGGGCTTCAACATGGGGAAAGGAGTGCACTTGAGCGATCACACGGAGGTATTCCATCGACAGCCCATGATAAACTGTTTGCTAGTAGGTTTTTGCAGGTATTATTTAACTCCAGAGCTTCGGCGGCACACCACGGGTGTGCTACGCTTCCCAGATGTTGTCCTCTGATCGTGCCCTGAAAATCCGCATTTCACAAAACCAAAGAAGGACCCACGGTAAGTAGGAAAACGAACATACAAGAAGTACTGTGCACAGATGATTATAGCATATCATAAACAATTTTATATTTTTTGAAAAATATTTTTACAATAATTTCTACATATATAATAAATCATCTTTTGAGATTCTTGGAGATGATTTTTGATATTTTTTGATTAAGATGATTTATTATATATGTAGAAATTATTGTAAAAATAATTTCCAGGCTTTTCAGAGGTGGCTGGCCCTTGCCGGCCTCTGTGTCACGACCCGGGTATTCCTTGAAGGTCTCCCTTCCACGCACTAGCCGAGGCCTTTGACAGCAGATCGAAACATCTGCAGAAAAGTTGGATAAACTGCTTTTCGACAGAGGCGAAGAATTTAGATGGGCCTTCTTAGCTTGCTTTATCAGATGTAACACCTACACATCTTAAAAAAGACCTAATGGGGGATTCTGCGGCTGAGTTCAGCTAAGGAGGCTTCAACTCTCCAAGATCTGAGTTCGGTGCAGTTCCTTAGCTTGGCTTTGAATTAGATTATTTGTCACCCACAGTCAGAGTTGCAGTAGCAAGGGAAGAGGGCAGAACAGCAGGGGAGGGGAGAAAAAGGAGTGTGGCTGGACCAGAGATCCAGAGAGTCTGAGCTGCTTTCTCACTCCCACGTGGGCTGCAAAGGGGCTTTTGAGACCATTTCCACATGAGGACAAAGCGAATGTTTGGGGCAGAATTTGAGATCAGAATAATCTGGACTACTAAAACTTGACCAGGAGAGTTTACTAGACCTGGGAAGGAGCCCCGGAGGAGTTAGCAGATATTTCTGAGTCCCTCTACAGACTTACCTGCCAACGCTTCCTCTTCATCGCAGCCGCAGACAAAAAGCTCTTCTTCTTTCTCCAGCCAGGATATGAGGTCAGGTTTGGCCATCCCAGGTCCTTTTTCAGATGGAAACAAAACCACAATAAGGTTTGTTCTGTGTGCTCGTGAAAGCCACCTTGAGTCTGCCCTGTCACAACTAAGATAGCTGGACGGAGCTCATTCGTCTGGCAATGGCAAATATACGTTCACTGCTTGTCCAGTTGGGAACCAAGTCACGGAACACACACACACACACACACACCCCCCAGAAACCTGGCTTCAGAGCCCCCTGAGTCCCAGGGCCATCTGAAGTCAGAGGTCCAGAGGAACTCCCTCTTCTACCACCCCACAGCCCATAAAACCCCATTCCAAGAGGCAGGGAGCCCTGTTTCCACAGGAACACCTCCACTCCTTAACCGACAACCTGTGGCTCTCCTGTGACTATGCAGTCTGTGAGTAATGGCCCACAGTTTGTCCCTAACAAGACAATAACAAGGCATTCCATACCCCTCAAAAACATTCCCCGCAATGCAGATAGGCCCAGAAACCTCATCAAAGACTCATCGCCTTCCCCACTAAGAATCCCACAGTGATCATATTCA